GTGATTACAGTCATAAGGAATTACCCAAAGGAAAATATAAAATGCATTCAAGAAATACAAACTATTAATACTTATTTCAAATGTTTATATACTAGGGCTGGGGGGGCTAGGAGCATCTTTTGTTCTAATATTTGGTCTTTGACCTCAGTTCCTGACACAAAAGCTTCTAAGACCCTTGGAATCTCCAGATAAGAGTCTTTTGTATGCTAATGAGATGACTGGGGGTCCCCTAGGTGATTTCAAATGGGGGCTGATCACCAGAAAGACCAAGCCATGACTAAAAGTTTGGAACTTTCAGCTCCACCTCCTCTCTCCATTCTCCAGGGAGAGAAGAGCTGGAGATGGAGTTAATCACTGATCATGCTACCATGATGAAGCCTCCATAAACATCCCTCCATTACAAGATTCAGAGAGCTTCTGGGTGAGCATATCCACACACCAGGAGAGTGGGGCATCCCAACTCCATGGGAACAGAAGCTCTTGTACTCTGGTCCTCACCCTATGTGCCTCTCCATCTGGCTGTTCACCTGTATCAGTTATCATACCCCCTCTTATATAATAAACCAGGAACCATAAATGTCTGAGTACTGTTAGCCATTATAGCAAATTATTAAACCTGAGTGGCAAGGGTGGACACTCGACAGTGAACAATTTACAGCCAGGTCGGACACAAGTATGGGTAACCTGAGGACACTAGGGACCCACACTTGCAACTGGCATCCGAAATGAAGGCAGTCTGTGGGACTGAGCCCTCAACCTGTGGGATCTGACATTAACTCCAGGTAAACGGTGTCAGGATTGAACTGAATTGTAAGACAACCAGCTGGTGTCCGAGAACTGGTCAGTACAGGGGGGGAAAGCACACATTTGGTGTCATTAGTATTCAGTGCGTAGAGGAAAAGTTTCCTATTCAACAACAAGGAACACAGCTAGTCCGGGGCTTTGGTCAAGAACTAGCTCAGAGGGGTGCCTGGGTGGCTCAGTCGTTAAGCGTCTGCCTTCGGCTCAGGTCATGATCC